TGGAATGTTTTGTAATAAGCAACATAACGCAGAGAACTGCATTGTAATTAAAAATTATAAGAAAACCATTGACTGTCCTTCTCTAACAAAGAACGCGAATAATCATAATCACTCAAATTCAAAACTAAAGCTCGCTCATTTGAATGTCAGATCTCTGAAAAATAGAGATAATTTGATCCAGTTGAGGGAACTTAATGGCGAACATCAGTACGACATTTTAACGATATCGGAATCATGGCTTAATTCCACAGTAAAAAATTCAGAAGTTGAAATTGAAGGTTACAGTTGCGGTTGGATCGCCTTGGTAAACGTGGAGGTTGTGTTTGTGTTTTTACTCGTAACTCACTGAAAACAAAGATTATAAAGGATATATCTGTAATTTCATCAATGGGTTTTCATCAATTGTGGATATTAATCCAACATAAGAAAATGAAATCTATTGTGCTATGTGTTGCTTATAGACCTCCTGACTGTCCAGTTTCCTGTTTCGTGGACGATCTCATGGACAACTATTCATATGCACTTACTTTGAAAAAAGATATATTCGTAGTGGGTGATCTAAATTGTAACTTATTAAAAAGTGGTCCAGAATCTGATGCGTTGAACGAATTGTGCAGCAGCTTGAATTTATTCCAACTTATCAAGGAACCAACTAGGGTGACTTTGCAGTCCTCATCTCTCATCGATGTGATTTTAACATCTAACACAAGCTTGGTAGTGGAAAGTGGAGTTGAAAAAACGCACATCAGTGACCACTTTCTGGTTTATTCAATATTAAAGCTTAAATTGCCTAAGAAATTACCTGATTACATGGTCATAAGAAGTTTTAAGAATTATTCTTCTGAAGCGTTTAAAAATGATCTAGAACAGCTGATTTGGCAAGAAAATCCAATTGACCAGGGCGTTAACCAGCGACCGGACAATTTTAATCAGAAATTTCTAAGTGTATTAGATATGCATGCCCCGATAAAGACTGTTAAGATTAAACGTCGCTTGTGCCCTTTTGTTGACCAGGAAATTGTTCAACTTATGAAAAAAAGAAATGCGCTGCATAAACTTGCCCGTCAAACCCTGCAGGCCTTGGACTGGGACAGATATCGTTCATGTAGAAATCAAATTAAAAGAAAATTGAGAGAATCCGAGAGAAAATTTGTGTATAAAAGAATTAATGACAAAAATAGAAACAACAACTCCCTTTGGAAAACTGTAAGAGAATGTATTCCTAGAAGTGAAAAAACACGTTTAACTTATTCTGGGAATGTCGTTGAAGTAGCGAACAAATTTAATGAATACTTTTTTTCAGTCGGAGCAAAAGCGGCAGAAGAATCCAAAGCGTTGATTACTTCATATGGTCTTACATCGACTCATCCAGAGATACCACATAAATTTAGTGCAGAAATTGACAAGTTTCATTTTCACCCTGTGTCCTGTGACGTGATTCGTAAAATTGTGTGTTCTTTTCCATCCAATAAGTCCCCTGGACCAGATAAAGTTTCTGTGAAAGTGATCAAAGATGCCTTACCATACATTCTTCAACGTCTTACGGATATTGTTAACTGCTCTTTAAGAGAATCTTTGTTTCCCAGCGCCTGGAAGTTGTCAGAAGTTATTCCCCTAATAAAAGAAGGGGATCACGAAATTGCTAAAAATAATCGGCCAATTTCCTTGCTACTTGCTGCATCAAAGATCTGCGAGCGTGTAGTTTTGGAACAATTTACCGCATATGTGGAACAGAAGAAATGCTTAAGCGTACACCAAAGTGGAAACAGGAAGCTGCACTCCACTGAAACATTGAATTTATTTATATCGGATAAGATCTTAAAGTCTATGGACGACAAGGAGGTCGTAGCTGTAATTCTACTAGACCTTTCTAAAGCATTTGACAGTATCGATCATGTATTGCTTCTGAAAAAGCTCTAAGTATTGGGAGTGTCCGATGACGCTTTATGTTGGTTTAAAAGTTACTTGACAGGACGACAGCAGGTTGTGCGCATTGGATCGACTGTCTCTGAAACACGCACACTCAATCATGGCGTTCCGCAGGGCTCAATTCTCGGTCCCATTTTATTCAACATATATATTAATGATTTACCTATGGTACCAAAGAATGGTAATTTGAAGTCTTACGTCGACGACTCGAAGCTACTTTTGTCATTTCCCGTCAATGAAGTGAACTTAGCGGCTGCTAAGCTTAACGAAAATCTACGGAGAGTCGTTTCTTGGTGTTCTCTAAATAGTCTGCTTATTAATCCCAATAAGACGAAATTACTTGTGTTCGCAATTCGTTATATGTTGAAACAGATACCGGCAGATTTCTATATTTTACTATTGGGGAAAAAACTGTTTCCTGTGACCTCAGCCACTGATCTAGGCGTAACACTGGATAGTGGTTTGACGTACGATGAACACGTCACAAAACTGGTTTCCTCTTGTGTCGGTAGCCTGTGTCAATTTAATAGAGCAAGGCACCTTTTTGATATGAAGACGTTAATTCTTTTAATAAACGCGTTGGTTTTTAGTAAACTCTATTACTGTTCAACCATATGGTCTAATTCATCGAAGAAAAACATTGCAAAATTGCAAAAAGTTCAGAACTTCGCAGCACGTATTGTCACGGGCACAAAAAAATTCGACCATATCACTCCATCTTTAAAACAGCTTAACTGGTTACCAGTCAATTATATGTTGCGATTCCGAGATACAGTAATGGCTTATAAATGTGTTAATGGTATGGTCCCATCATATTTATGTCGTATGTTCCAAACAAGATCACAATTACTCAATTTGAACATAAGATCTAGCGAATTATTGGAAATACCTTTATATAGAACAGCGACCGGACAACGTTCTTTTCGCTACCGAGCTTCTTGTTTGTGGAACAGTTTGCCAGAATGGCCAAAAGACCATAATCTTAATTTGGAACGTTTTAAAAGCGGGCTACGAAGTTATTTGGTTCAACAATTTCTCGATGAACAGAACTGAATTACATCTTTTACTGACTAAATTTTAAATTAAATAGTACTAATAAGTATTTTACCTTAAATATAACTAGCTTGATATTATATATTTTGGTGTTAATAGTATATTATACAGTTTTTAGAATATAATTTAATTAAGTAATTACTTTTTATAACTTCTGTATTGAACACTGAAAAACCCTTCTGGGAGTGTTTAACATTAATAATAATAATAATAATAATAATAATAATAATAATAATATACTGCATTTTTTATCTGCGAAGAGCTGGGTGCTGAGCGGTTCCCAGGGCATATACTCGTATTGAAAAGCTGGATGTTGGGGAAAGTCGATTAGGACATATACTGATTTGCAGCTGGGTCCTAATCTGCCCAAGACATATACTTTTACGGATTTAAAGCTGGGTCCTGAGTCGGCTAGAACATATACTCCATTTAGAGCTGGGTCCTAGCCTGCCCTGTAAGACATATACTCTGAGCTGGGCCCTGGGAAAAATGGTCAGGGAAATATTTCTTAGAACACTGATCTGGCTTAGCACATATACTCATATGCAGAAATAGAGTGATTTTTGTAAATGGGAATTGGCTGTATGCCAGGTTGCCAAATTCCGTAAAGAAAACGTGAGGTCTATGGTAAAATTGCGACCTCATACTAGAGCAATTGCCTCCACAATCACACAACGATAGTGTGTGTGATCCCCATAGACCGAAAAACAACGATCGAGTGTTTATCTTATTCTGCAATCAATCGTTTTGAAACGTCTGTAAGGACATTGATTGGCGTGCGAATATATCTGAGGTAACAATCGGAAGACCATCTTCCTAGCGTTTGAATAAGCCAATGAGGCAAACCTTGCGACGCAGTTGTGGTAGCGGCTCCGATTCTAAAACTGTGGCCTGCATAGTGAGCAGGGTGATGACCATCTTGGGCCAAAAGTGTTCGTAGTTCGTTAGTAAATTGACTACGTGATAAAGGAACACCATTTGAGTAGCAAAACAATGGTCCCGCATAGTCCGTTGGCGCACGTGAAAGGTAGGTTTGAAGGGCCCTTACTGGACAGTCAATACATACCAGAATTGCTGCCAATGGTTATTGTGGCTGAGGCTCGAAACGGATCGGTTTTTGACGCTTTAATTCGTAGTTGCAGAAAAACCTCGTTATCCCCACTTTTTTGTTATGAAAATTTACATCTGATCGGCAAAGTTTGTTGAAGAATTATAAGGACCGGAGCAAGTCATTTCAGCAATCCGCAAAAACCCGAAAAATGCTATGGAAATTGCTGCCCAAATCATGGTTTCATCATGTGTTGGTGATGTCCGTGAGTGTAATATGCGGTGAAACAATTTCAAATGGTCAAATGTAATTGGTAAGCGTGTTCTTGTAGACACTCCTTTTACTCGCTTTATACCTCGGAAAATATAGTGTAGGCGTTGAAATTTGGCGATTTAAAGGTCGTAGCCGTTAACCAAATGCATATGGTTTACTGCTGCGAGATAGACTTTGATGGTGTCTGGATTTACCGTCTTAGTGTTTTTGAGGCCATAAAGGTGCCATACAGTCTGTAGGAAGCTACCACAATAGCATAGAGCTCTTGCCAATTAATGCTGATATTTTTTGTGGTAAGTGTTTGGTGAGGCAACCATTTACCCTGAAACCACTGGGTGCGAAAAATTCCCCCAAAACCAAGGGTCACGGAGGCATCCGTATAGAGAGAAAGGTTTGTAGAATTTTTCCAGAAAGAGTTGAGAAATAAACTTGTCCCATTCCAGTCTTTAAGAAAAAGTTGCCACATTTTTACATCTTCGCGAAAACCATTCGTCAAGCAAATGTGATGATGTGGTTTGGAGACACCCCGTGTTAGATTTATGATACGTTGCAGAAAAACTCGACCCGGGACAATTACTTTGCATGCAAAATTTAATGTGCCAATTAGTGATTGGAGCTCTTCGAGTGTGGATGACTTGTTTGTGTGCCACGAATTTAAATCAACAAATAGACGGTTCAATTTATCGGATGGAAGACGAGCCTCCATCTTTTGTGAGTCAATGATAATGCCTAGAAATTCTATAATGAGACTGGGTCCTTCAGTTTTATGTTCTGCAATAGGAACACCTAACGTGCGGAATGTTAACAACATGCTAGAATGTTAACAAAATGTCAGTTTTAGCTAGATAAGTGCCTCTGCCTAATCGGATTAAAGTCGCAATTGCGTCGTCGATTTTTATGTACTACAATGAAAAGTCGTCTTTCTCGATAAAAGAATTGATTGATTCTCCCGTTTTTGGAAACGAGAGGTGAAAAATGGTTCGAAATTTATCTGAATGCTTTTTAGGTACAATGCCAATCGGCAAAACCTGTAAATTAGCAAATGGGGGATTGGTGAAAGGACCAGCTGTGTGGCCAAGAGCAACTTCCTTAGCTTAGTTAGTTGAAACAATTATTCAAAGGCAGACTTGAGGTTTTTCGAAAATTTGGACATGCGAGGACCATCGTAACCGAGACGAGCACCGAAACGCAAGTCTGAACAGAGTTTCAAAACGAATGATGAATCGGGAAGCCCACAAAGAGCACCTTCAAGCGCGTCAACGCGAATTGGCGTAACTATAGTATTATCTAAAGTTATTGAATTACTGCTATTATATATACCACACTTAAACTAACAGTTCTATTTTCTGTTGGTCTTCGCGGAGCTACGGGCGGATTGTGAAGGGTGGTCGTCGTTGTGATCGTTTTCCCCACGGGATTGTGGACATTGGTACCCAGGATGGTTCCCCCCACAGCCAATTCGGTTACACCGGTGAGTGTAAGGGCAATTGGGTCGTAATGGGCAAGGTCTACCCCTTTTGTAGCTGTGGCAAATTCCGCCCCTCGCTGCCCCAGCTTTGTTTGAGGGTCCGTTAGAAAAAAGGGAATAATCTTTCCGCAACTGCTAGCGGTGAAAATACGCAACCATAACTGCATGTCAATGTTGGCTCACGACAATGTTCGACACGCGGGGGCTTTATAGCGAAATTTATGGTCATATATGCACCAGCCTAAACCGCCATGCGTTTTTGCCGCATGACGGATGGTTTCCATGTACTGTAAAAGTTCTGATGCACGATTTGGAATTTTTGTACTATGATTAACATATACGTGTTGATAGCGGTTGTCCACTCTTCAATGTTAGTCAGCACCTGAGGCTTGCGTGGTTTTGATGAGATTCCCGTAGAGGAAATTGTGAAACCTACGTTGTCAGAAGAATCGGAACCAACATTTAACTTTTTTAAATTTTTGGCAATAATTTAGCAAGCTCAAAAAACACACCACTTTCGATGTCACGAACGTATTTGTTTGGAATCTCTGGCGTGAATCCCCCATCTGCTTGCTGGATTGAGGCAACAGGTCCATGGGATGAAGTCGGCTGTGCTGGAGCTCGCTGGAAATTAAAAATGGAAATTGACCAAGCTGTTGTAGCCTTTCGAGTGGCGTTGGCGGTGGCGGGATAGTTTGCTGCTCATCTACACGAGTCGCGGTTGTTGTGTCGTGTTGGCTTTTGAAGAACGACTGCGAATCAAACTGCGTAATCTGTACCAGTCGGTCGGCGCTGAAGCTTTCCCTTGCGTTGGAATTAGATAACGTGTTGTTTACTGGAACGGTTTGAATGTGGGATTGCGGCGTGTACGTGCTTAGACGTTCTCTTTCGTTTTGTAGACGCGTTGTAAGTGCCCGTCGGCCGCCAGCGCAAGAAAAGTTGACTTCGCGGCAAAGGTTCTTCAACTCTAAAATTGATAACTCGCCCAAAAAAAGCTCGGCACTTCGACGGATGGTTGAGTACTGGACGGTCGTTGATCCTGCTGACGAACTCGTGATCGTGGTTTGCTAACTCTTGGCATTATTTTTGGTGAACGTTTAGAAATGATAAACGTGAAGCGATTAATTGTTTAAATGACTCTTTAAATCAGTCTTTACAGCTCGCAATCCAAGTAAGAATGATATAGGCAGATAAAGCTAACTCGGATATCTGCCAATGTTTAACTATAGTTTCATTGTTATAGTTTATATGAATAGGTCAAACATAGTGGTTTGGACAATAATTAATAAACGATACTGGGTGCAGTAGCCTACGGGTTTGGCAAGCAAATAATAAAAGTCTGTGATAGAGTCTTCCTTTGTTTAGACAATAGTAGCTTTCGAGTTGGCTTAACATAGACATTTTATATCTATAATATTTAGGTCTAGCGCATTGAGTATCGTCCATTAACAATAATTTGTACTCGTAAAAACTACCATTTAATGCAATGATGAAAATTATGCCAATTATTCATGAAAAAGTTGTAATTCATCCCCACCTGGCTACAAAAAGTACCGAAATATTTTTCAAAACCTATTTTTTAATAATCTCCATCCCATTAGCCTGCATGCAGTCCCAGACTCCAAACGCAGGCTACATAATAGTATAATATAATAGTATAATAGTAATTTACACATTAAATGGCAGGGCTAAATTACAATGTGCTACAAATAGAGTTTTTACTGTTTTTAAAAATTGATTAAGAATGAAATAAGAACTATTTATTATATTATCTTATACAATAAAAAAACCATGCAAGATTAGTAAGATTTTCGAAGTTAAGAGTTAGCTAAGCTAAGAGTTATAAAGAGTTAAATTGTACTTATTTATTACATAAATGATAGGACTCTGACTAAATCGTTTAGTTCTACATGCATAGTTATAATATTCTAAGCCGTTTGTCCTCGTTTCCCTCTGTTAATTGAGAAACCTTCATTGGGAGAAGATGTTGAAGTTTATTGCCGGGATTTGACATTTTCTTAATCATGTCAACACACATAACATCTCTACGTTCCTATAGGGTTTTCAAATTGGACTGACGTAGTACATGATCGTAGCTCATAACAGGGAGGATTATTCTTAGCGCCCGCTTTTGTAATCTCTCAATGTCATTACTCTGTTCAACTGTGAGATTGCCATTCCAGATTTGAGCTCCATATTCTAGAACCGACCTTATTACAACCGTATAGAAGGCTTTTAGATCTTCCATGGGGGCATTATAGCTTTTAAGCACCTTTAACAGATATAATCGTTTGACTGCTTTCTTTATAATATAGGCTGTATTAGTATTCCATTTTAAATCGTCGACTATCCAAATACCCAGCAACTTAAATGATTTTACTCTTGTGAAGATATCCCCGCCAATAGAAATTGACGGTATTATAGTTTTAACCTTCCTGAAGTCTACCAGCATCTCTTTACACTTTTTACTATTGAGTTCCACATTTTGATTTCTCGTAAATTGCAATATGTTATCCACGTTTCGTTGAGAGTTTCCGATCGGGCAGTTGGACACGTGTTGGGTGATGTCAATGACTTCCGATAGAGTTGTATCGTCCATGAACAATGAAATATCTTCATCCTCTGGGTTAATTGGGGAGATTATGAGCGGTAGATCATTGATGTGGATAACAAATGCGATGGGTCCAATTTTAATTACTTCCTTGGGGAACTCCTCCTTTAACTCGAGCCTCCTGCGAGAATGCATTTGCGGAATTTAGTGACTTGTGACCTATCTTTGAGGTACGATCCTAGCCAAGAAATAAGAGCTGGCCTGACCCTCAATTTTTTCACAATTTTCCAATACTGTAGCTTATTGTGATCTACCAAGTCGTAAGCTTTTCTAAAATCAAGAAAAATAATCCGTATTACCCGGCCATGCGTTTCCATGGCCAAATACCATTTATGAATAAGGTTAACTAGGGCCAACACAATACATCCCATAAGCTTTCATAAAATATGTAGCTTTCCCTACTTGCTGCAAGTAACTTTTCTTGTTTTTCATGGTTGAAGTTATACTATTACTAATACAATGTGAACGGCTCCAACAATTCAGTAATTTAAGAGCAAAGCGATTTTAGGGGATTTAAGGCGAGTTAAGATGGCCCCGATGTTCCGGAAACATCATTTTCGACTTACAATCTTGTGTTTCCAACTTGTGAATTTCAGTTAAAGGAGGGCAAACCAAGAAACAGTATTTCTCAGCCAAATTTCTTAAAGATACACACGCAAAAATCTCATCTCTATGGCAAAGGATGTTTATCTCCAGCTGTTTAGCCAATAAAGAATTTGTTTCCAAAACCCGATTGTGAAACTCATATTCACATTCTTCAAATTGCGTGATAACTTGACAATCAACTTACCAACTTTGTAGGTAAACTACGAAATTTTTGGCCAACGTTTCGTGCAATCAATTGTAAAATAAAGCTTACTTGCCATCCTTCTTAATCACCATATTCAGGACCACGTAGTGTGGCCGCAATGTCGTGTGGGTCCATCCCGGTGGTTTTGCAAACATCTAAAGAGACAATGAGATATGGATGCCATCACAAACTTCATGTGAGATATGGATACCACACAAACTTCACGCGAGATATGGATGTCATCACAAAGTTCATGCGAAATATGGATACCACACAAACTTCGAGCGAGAATGTTTAGCTGATTTTTAACAACAACAATACACTACATATTGATCTCAAACTCATTAATAATTCATGAGTAACAAGGGCAGATCTCGTGCTCGACCAATCAGCGCATTTGTTTACATTTTCGCTCTCAGCTAATCATAATGCATGAAACGCGAAATTTACAACAAGGCGAGCTAGAAAATATTGTCGTCCTCTTGCGCTTCCGTCAAATTCAATTTTAACTTTTTAAAATTAATTTAAAACCAAATGATTATGATATAGCACATTAAAATCTAAAACTTTGCCTTGGGCATTTTTAAATTTCGACGTAGAACGGAAAATATCCATGTTTGAAATTTTTCCCTATGTCATGTATACAAATTTGAGTAATCTAATTTGACTGCAATAAAACTAAAAATTGCTAGATATTCTCTGCTTTACGAGTAGGTAACCCCCCCCCCCACATCCAGCGTCCAAAGGGATGCCGCGAATGACGTCATATCATTAATGACTGTTGTAGCCTTTCGAGTGGCGTTGGCGGTGGCGGGATAGTTTGCTACTCATCTACACGAGTCGCGGTTGTTGTGTCGTGTTGGCTTTTGAAGAACGACTGCGAATCAAACTGCGTAATCTGTACCAGTCGGTCGGCGCTGAAGCTTTCCCTTGCGTTGGAATTAGATAACGTGTTGTTTACTGGAACGGTTTGAATGTGGGATTGCGGCGTGTACGTGCTTAGACGTTCTCTTTCGTTTTGTAGACGCGTTGTAAGTGCCCGTCGGCCGCCAGCGCAAGAAAAGTTGACTTCGCGGCAAAGGTTCTTCAACTCTAAAATTGATAACTCGCCCAAAAAAAGCTCGGCACTTCGACGGATGGTTGAGTACTGGACGGTCGTTGATCCTGCTGACGAACTCGTGATCGTGGTTTGCTAACTCTTGGCATTATTTTTGGTGAACGTTTAGAAATGATAAACGTGAAGCGATTAATTGTTTAAATGACTCTTTAAATCAGTCTTTACAGCTCGCAATCCAAGTAAGAATGATATAGGCAGATAAAGCTAACTCGAATATCTGCCAATGTTTAACTATAGTTTCATTGTTATAGTTTATATGAATAGGTCAAACATAGTGGTTTGGACAATAATTAATAAACGATACTGGGTGCAGTAGCCTACGGGTTTGGCAAGCAAATAATAAAAGTCTGTGATAGAGTCTTCCTTTGTTTAGACAATAGTAGCTTTCGAGTTGGCTTAACATAGACATTTTATATCTATAATATTTAGGTCTAGCGCATTGAGTATCGTCCATTAACAATAATTTGTACTCGTAAAAACTACCATTTAATGCAATGATGAAAATTATGCCAATTATTCATGAAAAAGTTGTAATTCATCCCCACCTGGCTACAAAAAGTACCGAAATATTTTTCAAAACCTATTTTTTAATAATCTCCATCCCATTAGCCTGCATGCAGTCCCAGACTCCAAACGCAGGCTACATAATAATATAATATAATAGTATAATAGTAATTTACACATTAAATGGCAGGGCTAAATTACAATGTGCTACAAATAGAGTTTTTACTGTTTTTAAAAATTGATTAAGAATGAAATAAGAACTATTTATTATATTATCTTATACAATAAAAAAACCATGCAAGATTAGTAAGATTTTCGAAGTTAAGAGTTAGCTAAGCTAAGAGTTATAAAGAGTTAAATTGTACTTATTTATTACATAAATGATAGGACTCTGACTAAATCGTTTAGTTCTACATGCATAGTTATAATATTCTAAGCCGTTTGTCCTCGTTTCCCTCTGTTAATTGAGAAACCTTCATTGGGAGAAGATGTTGAAGTTTATTGCCGGGATTTGACATTTTCTTAATCATGTCAACACACATAACATCTCTACGTTCCTATAGGGTTTTCAAATTGGACTGACGTAGTACATGATCGTAGCTCATAACAGGGAGGATTATTCTTAGCGCCCGCTTTTGTAATCTCTCAATGTCATTACTCTGTTCAACTGTGAGATTGCCATTCCAGATTTGAGCTCCATATTCTAGAACCGACCTTATTACAACCGTATAGAAGGCTTTTAGATCTTCCATGGGGGCATTATAGCTTTTAAGCACCTTTAACAGATATAATCGTTTGACTGCTTTCTTTATAATATAGGCTGTATTAGTATTCCATTTTAAATCGTCGACTATCCAAATACCCAGCAACTTAAATGATTTTACTCTTGTGAAGATATCCCCGCCAATAGAAATTGACGGTATTATAGTTTTAACCTTCCTGAAGTCTACCAGCATCTCTTTACACTTTTTACTATTGAGTTCCACATTTTGATTTCTCGTAAATTGCAATATGTTATCCACGTTTCGTTGAGAGTTTCCGATCGGGCAGTTGGACACGTGTTGGGTGATGTCAATAACTTCCGATAGAGTTGTATCGTCCATGAACAATGAAATATCTTCATCCTCTGGGTTAATTGGGGAGATTATGAGCGGTAGATCATTGATGTGGATAACAAATGCGATGGGTCCAATTTTAATTACTTCCTTGGGGAACTCCTCCTTTAACTCGAGCCTCCTGCGAGAATGCATTTGCGGAATTTAGTGACTTGTGACCTATCTTTGAGGTACGATCCTAGCCAAGAAATAAGAGCTGGCCTGACCCTCAATTTTTTCACAATTTTCCAATACTGTAGCTTATTGTGATCTACCAAGTCGTAAGCTTTTCTAAAATCAAAAAAAATAATCCGTATTACCCGGCCATGCGTTTCCATGGCCAAATACCATTTATGAATAAGGTTAACTAGGGCCAACACAATACATCCCATAAGCTTTCATAAAATATGTAGCTTTCCCTACTTGCTGCAAGTAACTTTTCTTGTTTTTCATGGTTGAAGTTATACTATTACTAATACAATGTGAACGGCTCCAACAATTCAGTAATTTAAGAGCAAAGCGATTTTAGGGGATTTAAGGCGAGTTAAGATGGCCCCGATGTTCCGGAAACATCATTTTCGACTTACAATCTTGTGTTTCCAACTTGTGAATTTCAGTTTAAAGGAGGGCAAACCAAGAAACAGTATTTCTCAGCCAAATTTCTTAAAGATACACACGCAAAAATCTCATCTCTATGGCAAAGGATGTTTATCTCCAGCTGTTTAGCCAATAAAGAATTTGTTTCCAAAACCCGATTGTGAAACTCATATTCACATTCTTCAAATTGCGTGATAACTTGACAATCAACTTACCAACTTTGTAGGTAAACTACGAAATTTTTGGCCAACGTTTCGTGCAATCAATTGTAAAATAAAGCTTACTTGCCATCCTTCTTAATCACCATATTCAGGACCACGTAGTGTGGCCGCAATGTCGTGTGGGTCCATCCCGGTGGTTTTGCAAACATCTAAAGAGACAATGAGATATGGATGCCATCACAAACTTCACGCGAGATATGGATGTCATCACAAAGTTCATGCGAAATATGGATACCACACAAACTTCGAGCGAGAATGTTTAGCTGATTTTTAACAACAACAATACACTACATATTGATCTCAAACTCATTAATAATTCATGAGTAACAAGGGCAGATCTCGTGCTCGACCAATCAGCGCATTTGTTTACATTTTCGCTCTCAGCTAATCATAATGCATGAAACGCGAAATTTACAACAAGGCGAGCTAGAAAATATTGTCGTCCTCTTGCGCTTCCGTCACATTCAATTTTAACTTTTTAAAATTAATTTAAAACCAAATGATTATGATATAGCACATTAAAATCTAAAACTTTGCCTTGGGCATTTTTAAATTTCGACGTAGAACGGAAAATATCCATGTTTGAAATTTTTCCCTATGTCATGTATACAAATTTGAGTAATCTAATTTGACTGCAATAAAACTAAAAATTGCTAGATATTCTCTGCTTTACGAGTAGGTAACCCCCCCCCCCCCCACATCCAGCGTCCAAAGGGATGCCGCGAATGACGTCATATCATTAATGACATCATAACCGGAAATACTCGCATAATTTATCAAGTATGCACGTTCAGCTATTCCCGCATAAATTATTGGGCATGCACGTTCAACTGTATGTATCCGGTTTAATTGTAAGCATTACGTAATTGTATTGCACACGTCTATATAAGAGACCGCGCGTTTATTCATTGATATCACTGCATACTAAGCCTTTGAAAATGAACTTTTCACAAAAAAATTGAGCAATCGAACTGGGCCAACGGTGTTCGTGCAGACGAAGTTTCGTCCTCTGATTATAAAAGGCTTTTTAGTTTGTTAGAGGCAATATATGCATGTGTTATTTGAGAAGTGTTCATCTAACCAGAATAATCGTAGACAACGTTTCTCTCAGAATCGATATGAATGGTATTCTCGAAATCTCCGTAGCACATGAGACTCACTGCGACTGTCGGCGCTCTGGAGAACTGGATATAAATAGCCAGGTTTCCTTTTTGCACGACGTTAAAATGAGGAGATGCACCACACATATATCAGGTGTTAAATCAAAGGCGTAAACGGCATAACCTTTAGGGAATTCTTCTCGGGATATGTCGTTCCCAGTGTTGTAATACATTTTCCCCGTACCGGAGAACAGCGTGCTGAATGCTTCGATGTATCTAGGATTTGCACCAAAGGAAAACTGCAGGGGTTTAAATGGCATTTCTTCCCCTTTCACGGTTATTCAAATGGAGGACACGTTGAAATGTTGAAAGTTGTATGAATTCTTTTTGAAGGCACCGTTAAACGTTTCGCTCTCAACCAAACTGAAGACAAACATTTTTGGTACAAGTCTATTGAAGATGTTGTCTTTCCTCAGGGAAGGGTTTCCTGATGGAACGATGAAACTCTTGCATTCGACGCGGCGAATGGGATAGATGGCCGGTCCTTTGTTCATCGTAATTTCGTAGGCCACTTCACTCTGAAGTCGACATCGTCCTCGGAAGCCATCAGACAGAACTCGTTGCTGCTTCGATTCAAAATAACTTTCAAATCTACGTAATTCAGCAGGAGACGCTCGGTCATAAATACATCGCTAAATATGGGCCCTGCCATTTCAATAATTCCACTTGTCTTGCTGAAGACGTATCTTGCTCTAACACCCGCGTTGCCTGCGTCACCTGCTGTGGTAGGATTTGCAATGCCCATTGTTCCCGCAGTGTTTTTGTAAAGCAGAGCTGCGGTGAGCTGGGAATCTTTGGCTGAGGGGCCATATTTCAAGAGGGTTTCCAGATAAGCACGGTACGCATACGTCCCAGTAGCCTGAGTGACTTGCTTTTCTTTCAGAAAGATGTCAACTTGTTTGAACATGCTGTGTAGTTCACAACGCCAACCTTCAACAACAACAATTTATTATTACCCTCTTGAAAATTTTGATAATTTAATATTTACAAATAAAAGGGCTCCGCATAATAGTTATAAAGAGCTAAAAATGCCCAACCTTTTCGCCTGCGTCGAGATTTGCACCATTAGCTTTCGTCACTTTCGCTCTCGCCACGAGGATTGTTTTAGCAAGGTCGACGTAATCTTCAGTGCTTGGAGACAGGAACGTAATGGAACCTCCATCAGCTACACTGGAAACAGGTTGATGATCTATCCAATGTCCTTTTTCTCAACTGGCCTGTGTCGGAGGCACAGCAAATAGATTGAGTTCACTTTTTGTGCATTCTTGCGACTTTGAATGTACGAAATTCATGCTTCAACCAAATATGTCTAGTGCTGTTTTCCGCTTCTTGGTCTGATAGCTTCTGGCTGTAACTGTTGATGCCTTTCTCTTTTTAGCTGTTCCCTTCGCACGTTTTCCACTTCCTGTTTAACTCTTCAGCTTATTTATAGCTTTTCTTTTCGCAACGTTTGCAGCCTCCACGGTTCGTGCTTTTGCTGCTTCTTTTACGTTTTTACCGGCAAGAACATCACCCACAAGGTCAGCCCCACTTTTCAGGGCAATGTTACCGAGAGCTTTTGTTCCGCTCTTCACCATGAGCATCACCGCTCTTGCCACGCTGTGAAACAGACCCCCGATTCCATAGTCCATCTGGTGACCAGCGCCCATATGGTGACCAGCGCCCATCTGGTGACCATAACCGGCTTGCCAAGGGCTACCTGAGAAAACAGGCATCGGGATGCCCTTGCTATTGATCCAAATAATAGCGTACGTAAGGATTTAAAAATGAAAATTAAAGCCCAGCAAATGACTTTCAGACAAGACATAACAAAATATAAAGTTTATTGGCTAACGTTTCGTTGTATTGTTCACAACATCTTCAGAGCAATTAAACTTATTTACATTTTACCTGTCATTAAAATAATAGTATTAGTAAATTAAAGAAATAATGGTTAGTATTTAGAGACCTAGCAAAGCATTAGAAAAAGTCAAGAGGAGTTGACCTAATGTTAGCATTTAAAGTAGGATTAAGCTTGGATATGAAAAGGCTATCGCGAATGAGTAAATCTGCTTCAGAACTGGCAGTGGAAAGGATTTTAGAATCAGAGGGTAAAATTTGATGTTTATTGGTATGGATATGAGCGAGTATGCCTGACGTGGTTGAAACAGAACATTTCTTTCCAGTCAAAAGTGAAACACCCATGTGTTCAGAGATACGCGCGTGTATGTGTCGGCGAGTTTGACCAACATACAATGCACTACATCATTGCCACTTATACAAATACACCACATGTGATCTCAGTTCACCGGGAATTTTGTCCTTAAATGGAAAGAAATTGGAAAGACGGAAAGAAGGACGAAAGACGACGTGTGGATAGGCAGAAGAAATAAATTTCTGAAGTTGTAATCGAATATGCAAATGTCCATGATGACCAGTGAAAGGAAGACAAAAATATATAACCTTTTTTGAGCAAGTATGAACTTTATCACGACAATTATACATTTTATTAAGAAATGATTTGATACAACTGTCCACAAGTGTTGCAGGATAACCATTAAGAGAGGTTTTCTTGAATTTTTCCATTTCCGAGTGGAAAAATACATAAGAAGAGCGAATGTTGAAATAACGAGAGTTAAGTGAGAAAAGTAAACCTTTTTTGTACAGCATTGGAATAAAACTGTCAAAATTGGTAAACACTCCCGTGGAAGTAGATTAATGATGAACCGTGGAAGCGAAAGAACCATGGTAGCGAAAGAACCGTTAGAACGAATGACTTTGACGTCTAGAAAAGGAAGGCACGAATTACTTTCAAGCTCATGAGTAAATTGAATGTTGGGGTGCTTCGAGTTGAGATAGGAAAGGAGTAACATGGTCGCGTGATGTGAAAATAAGAAAACAATCATCAACATACCGACGGTAGAATATAGGCTTAAAAACGGAATGACAGCCAGCTAACCAGGATTTTTCATGAAAAGATAGGAATATGTTAGCAAACAATGGGCCTAAGGGTGAACCCATTGCTACACCATCAACCTGCTTGTATAGAACACCATCAAATAAAAAATGGCAATTTTTCACAGAAAGATTTAAGAGTTCTCTAGCTCTAAATTGATCGCGAGAGATGGCATGATAGTGTATGGCACTAGCAAAGCATTTATTAATGATTATATCAATAGTTTCATCTAATGGTATGTTAGTAAAGAGAGACTTAACGTCAAAACTGGCCATTATGACATCGTTAGTATTAATTTTTAACTCACGTAATTCCTTAATTAATCATTAATTGTAAAAGTGTTAGTAGAAAAGGGACGGAGAAGCGAAACAAGAAATTTAGCAAGTTTGTAGGAGTGAGTACCTATAGCAGAGATTATATGTCTAAGTGGGAAATTTGGCTTATGGACTTAGTTAAGGTAAACCATACATAATACCTGGTCAAGAGCCAATAGGATTAAGAACAACAACATTCAATTTTACTCATGAGCTTGAAAGTAATTCGTGCCTTTTCTAGACGTCAAAGTCATTCGTTCTAACGGTTCTCTCGCTACCACGGTTCATCATAAATCTACTTCCACGGGATTATTATTATTATTATTAATTATTCAAATGCATGACCTATTTACAGGTATTGCTAGAATAGGAAAAAAGTATATAAAGTATAGTACATATAGAATAGACGGTATAGATAATGAAAAATAGATAATATATAAAAGGATATAGATTTACATTTTGATTTTTATATATATTGAAATTAAAGTGTTTTTTTGTTCATTTTTGCCATATATATGTATAGATACAAATATATACATGTATGGTTTATAGAGCATTCGAAATATAGTGTTAATTACGACTACGACGTGTGCAGTCATTTAAGAGGTTTCCCTTTTTTTTATACAAATTAAAAATAATTTGTATAGTAAAAATATAGACTAAGACTAATTTGTTTTTGGGTTGTTTTGGGTTACCAGAGATTTGAGGCTATCTTCTCTTTCTTTTGTGCAGAGAAATAAATAATTAGAAAATAGATTTACTAAAACAGGATCGTCCGATGACATCGTGTGTTGAAGTAATTTTTGTTTAGTTTCTTTTGTTATTTTGAGATCAAACATGTTTTTGAGAATGTTGTTTGAGTTGTCTCGTAAGTGTTGGTAATTTTGGCATGCGACGGCGAAATGAAATTCGTTTTCCACTTCGCCAGAATCACATAGTTTACAGATACGTTCTTCTCGGGGTATATTTTCGTATCTTCCCCGTTCAATTTGTAACTTATGGTTGCTTATACGATATTGGGAAAATGTTCTTCTTATTGTTGGATTTTGAATAAGGGATAAGTATTCTTCCATTTTGTATTCATTTTTGAATTCACAAAAGAAAGAGAGTTTGGAGGAGTTGATCATTTTTTGTCGCCAGAATTCAACGTATTTGTCTTTCATTTTCTTTACGACGGTTTTTGTATCGTAGTTGATTATGTCACATTCAAAATTTGTAATTTTATCGTAGAATGGTTTTAGCATGTTTATTGAGTTAGCATAGAAAGATTCTTTGCCTATTTCATATAGTTGTTTAGACATTAATAAAGATTGTTTAACTATTGAGTTGTCGTCTAGTTTATAAATATGTTTAAAATAATTTATTATATTCTTTTTAATTGTAATCAGAAGAGGATACTTTCCGATTTCACTTCTGCAAGCTATATTGCTTGCTTTTCTGTTAACACCCAAATATAGCTTGCAAAATCTTAAATGAACCTTTTCTGTGTCTGAGTTATCCCATTTATTTAGATCATTCTTTTCATATGCTCCCCAAACTTCTGAGTTGTATAATAGAATGGGGGTGATGATCAATTCGAAAATTTTTGTAGCAGTTTTCGGTGAGAGTTTGTGAAAGTCTAGATTTTTACGAATTTTATAAAGAGCATGCAAAGCTTTTTCGCTTAACTGCTGTTGTGCGAGTTTAAACTTGCCATTTGGCACGAGTTTTAAGCCAAGATAGGTATATTCTTTAACTATATCTATCTTCTTATTTCCAATGTGGAAGTGAAGGTTTGGTAATTTTGAGTTGTGTTTTTGAAAAATCATAACTTTTGTTTTTTTGATGTTGACTTCCATAAGCCATTTACTACACCATTCGTGTAACTGATTCAAACAATTTTGTAGACCATGTTTTGATCGTGAAAGTATAATTAGATCATCTGCATATAAGAGACTGTTGATAGCAGTTCCGTTTGGTAATATAAAAGGGTCGGATTGAGCTTGTTCAAATAGTTTAGGAAGGTCGTTAATATAAATATTAAACAATAGGGGACTTAGAGTGCATCCCTGTCTGACTCCCTTTTTGTAGGGGAAAAACGGTGTTCTGTTTTCTGAAAGTTTTATAGCACATTTCGTGCTCGAGTACAGGTCTTGGATTAAGTCATAGAAGTGACCTCCTATGTTGTTTTTAATTAGTTGATAAAATAAACCTTGATGCCAAACAGAGTCGAAGGCTTTTCTGAAGTCGACAAAACATGCATAGATTTTTTCGTTATTGCTCTGTTTAATGTATTTGTCATGTAGAGATTTCAGTGTGAGAATATGATCAGCCGTTCTCATTCCAGGCATAAATCCAATTTGTGTTCGGTGAATTAGTTTCTTTTCGTTGGCAAAATTCATCAATCTATTGTTTAGAATTGAGCAAAATAATTTGCCCAAGCAACTTGAGACACATATACCTCGGTAGTTGTTTGGGTCAAGGGAGTTTCCCGATTTATGGATCGGGGTTATTAAACCTTCGGTCCATGATTCAGGAAACTTCCCCGATGTTAAAACGTTGTTGAAAACTTTCATAAAACATTTCGAGAGAGTTTCAATACTAGATATAATCATTTCATTTCTGATTTTGTCATTATAAGCAGCTTTTTTGGGCTTTAGGTTTTTAGCTGCTTTTCTCAATTCTTCTTCTGTGATGATGCCATCAAGTTCAGTCAAGTCGTCTTTGATTTTTTCGTAGTTTTTTAGACAATCAATGATTTCGTTCTGTTCTTTGTTTAGGTGGTGTTCAGAATGAAGTGTTTCAAAATGATTCAACCACTCATTTGGTTGTGGCATTTTCTTGTTTTCATTAGAGTTAAGCTCATCACTACTATTTTTGAGCGTTTTCCAAAATAAGAGAGGATTATTGCTAGCATTTTCAAGTTCTTGAATTTTATTGAAATGGAAATTTTTCTTTTTCATTTCTAAAATATTTTTATAGTCTTTCAAAGTGCTATGGTATGCGTTTCTAATTTCAGTATTATTTGGATCTCTATGTTTCTGATTAGCTAGTTTTCTAAGCTGGTGTCTTTTAAATCTACACTCTTTGTCAAACCATTTTTTGTTTGCAACATTATTAATCTTTCGTCTAAAATTCTTCTTTTTAATTTTAAGAGATTTTTTAGACGCAAGATCAATGATGTTTTGAAATTCATTGACGCATTTGTTGATACTTTCTCTGTCAGAAGAGAAGTCATTATCAAGGAATGAACTTAATTTTTCTCGTAGTTCCTCTGATTTTAGAGCTTTCTTAAAATTTTTGCTTGACTCATTGTTCCAAATATATTGTAGAGGTAGTTTTGATATCGGGGGTTGGGAGGTGGTAATATTATCAGTGTTAGTGTTTTTGTATAAGTTAATCCAGGTTATAACTTGGCTATGGTCAGATAGGTAGTTAGGTGATTTAACCACTAGGTGTTTAACTTTTGGTATTAAGTGTTGGTTACATATGACATAATCAACTACGCTGGTCCGTTATTGCCGTGAAAAGTAGGCCTTCCCAAGGAGTCACCATTGATCCGACCATTAAGAATTCTTATGTCAGTACTTTTACAAATTTGAATTATTTTTTTGCCATGATTGTTTATTGTGGAGTCAAAGTTTTGTCTTTCTGGAGGTTGGAAGGAGTTATCACTAGTGTCTTGAATGTGATCACTTCCATCACTTGAAACAAAATCTTCAAGTTTGCTTGTTCTAGCATTTAGATCACCAAGAAGAAGTACATTTCCTCTTGATGAGAAAAGGATTATGTCATTCGATTATGTCATTAAAGGATTATTTCATTACGGGATTGTTTACCAATTTTGACAGTTTTATTCCAATGCTGTACAAAAAAGGTTTAATTTTCTCACTTATCTTTCGTTATTTCAACATTTGCTCTTCTTATGTATTTTCCACTCGGAAATGGAAAAATTCAAGAAAACCTTCTTTCTTAATGGTTATCCTGCAACACTTGTGGATATAGTTGTATCAAATCATTTCTTGATAAAATGTATAATTCTCGTGATAAAGTTCATACTTGCTCAAAAAAGGTTATATATTTTTGTCTTCCTTTCACTGGTCATCATGGTTTGCAAATTCGATCACAACTTCAGAAATTTATTTCTTCTGCCTATCCACACATTTCTTTACGTGTCGTCTTTCGTCCTTCTTTCCGCCTTTCCAATTTCTTTCCATTTAAAGGAGCAGTGCCATCGCGTGCGCATCCATTCTGCGCATAGCAAAACTTGAAAACGTCGGCCGACGATTTTAAGTTTAGTGTATCCAAGATGGCGTCCACTTTGTAAAGTACAAGCGGAAAACGATAAACGATTAAGAAATCTTTGAAAACCCTGTAAATGTACTCAAAGATGAGTATAAATTCAGGTTTATGTATCCCTTTCATGTATGTTTACATAACCACATTTTTTTATTTCCTGCTAGCAGGCAATTGCAGTAATACAAAAGGACATTTTCTCAACTTGTAACACTTATCGCTTAATACTTGCGCATTAATAATATAAGGAACTTGTGGCTTTGTAGACGCTTCCATTGTTGTAATTCTTGCCAAAAAGGGACAGTTGGTCTTGGACAAATTTGTATATTTATGCGTCAGTCAAAACCAAGGTTGCCCATCCCTCCCTGGGCCACGACTGGGCATTTCACCTTTGCTCATTTCACATTTGCTCATTTCAGTTCCACATTATGTTCTAAATTATTTTAGGCATGGAAACATCCACACCATTGAAGGGTACAGAATGCCTCCAGACAAGTTTTCCATCTAAATCTCCCGTATTTGGACATCAACCAGATGAAATTTGCCTAACATGGAGATAGTCACAGATCCAAATTTGAGTGTTCTTGAGTCTGAAAGGTACTGATTATGGACAGTAACTTTTCAAAGATGAGTGGATTGTGTAATGATAATAGTAATAATAATAATGTAAAATTGATAATGTGAAATTATGATATAAATTGGTTGTTGCAAATTTATTAAATTATCAAATTGTATTGCACCTAAATTGTAAAATTTATTGATTGAGTTAAATTATACAAATGTGTGCATTGATAATAAATTAGCAACGCTTCTAATTGTACCGGTATATGTTCTAGTTCTACCATTGATCTTCATAAAACAAATATGTCACTATTCACTGATGATGAGGAATCCAATGACGAGTGTAGTTTGGAGGAGGACACCAGGTATAACAATTATTATGCATATAATCACTATACATATTACATTCAGTCACAAGGTTTCACTGTAATTATCTCATCTAGGGCCAGTGCTCTTCTTATGGCGAGTAAAATCGTCTGGCGTTAGAAAGAGTAAACACCAAAGTAGGGCGCATCAGGGCATGTTGCCGCTTAATGGGTTAAATACAGTGGTGTATACATGTATTCTTAAAACAAGGGTTGCTCATTGTCACTGTCTTGCAATGCCAACATGGGTGGGTAAGGGATTACATTTTTTAATTGAACAATATTTTGCTGCATGCCCAACCTAAGCTTTGGAAGCATCTTAGTTTTTTGAAATCGCATTTCCTGCATTTGCACAATAGTTTTGAAGATACATTCATAAAGGGGGCTCAAACAACCCAAATTGACATCCTATTTTAACAATGTAGGTTCATCCCTTAAAATTTACCTGTAATTTTAACAGTGGGGGTCTGCCAAATACACCACTGATTAAATATTATCTTTCTTTAACTAAATATTATACAATTCCTTTTCAGCTTAGATGAGCTTACCAAGTTAGTACTTGAAGATTTGAATGATGGAAGGCAAAGTTACTCAGAGTAAGAAATTTTGTACATTACAAGGTTATATCAGCCACACACCGACATGGTTTGAGTCGGTGTGTGGCTGGTATAAGCAGTTGTGCAATCCAAACTGAATAAATAAGAAAATAAATCAAATTGATTGTGTCAAAGGCTTATTAGAATCAAAGTGTTTTGGCGGGTTTAATTTTTGAAACATAACCTGTAAATATCCCCTATGGGCAACAAAAAAATTGAGTCAACAAAAAAATTGAATGTATAAACATGGTATATGATCACTCTGCTTCCAAAATTTTGTTTCCAGCACCAAATTGAAAGGTCATGTTTCTGTTACAGTGAGCTGTGTCAAGTAATTTTCATTTATAGTATCAAATAATACTATTATATTTTTTATTATTATTTGTAGTTCTATGAGAAGTAGTGATGATGATACTACATGTGATGAACATCATGATATTTTCCCAATGTCTGATGATGAACAGCAATCGGATGGTGATGAGTTACAACACGCCAATGTGGAATATGTTGAGCGACAAGATATAAGTGACGCACAACAGTCACCCAGCACTCCTCTGTTTACTTTTGGACCTCATCAGAAGTTTAGCAAAGGGCACGAGATATACGCAATGAAAGAAGAGTACAGCATGGTGCAAGAAATGAAATTGTCTGCTCTCTTAATTTACTGCTTGGTGCATTTCATGCTAAATGCCAGACACCTGGGTGTACCGCCTTACCCAACATCAGACATCACTTTGTAGGTGTTACACTAATTGTGAACTGTGTGTATTCTTCAGGGCATAAGTGTAGATTTTGTCCATCCAATGAAGTTAATGACATTTATGCCAATGATCTCCAAGCAGCTGCTTCATTTATATTATCTGGAAATAATTAGGCAAAAGTAGAACGCATGGCAAAGTTTTTGAATCTGCAATTTCTGTCGAAGACAACGTATTACAGATACCAATGGCTGTACTTGATACCAGAAATAAACCGGTGGTGGAGTGAGATGAGGAGCGATCTCCTGAAGGAGTTTTCTGGAAAAGACGTCGTAATTGGTCGTGATGGCCAATGTGACTCGCCAGGTTTCAATGCCAAGAATCTTTGCTACTTCATGGTGGAGGTAAATTCAAATTGTATTCTTGACATTGAAATCTTGGATAAGAGACATGTTGGTTTAATTTCCACAAATATGGAAAAAGAGGCGGTCCAACGAAGTCTAGATCACCTTGCAGAAGAAATTAATGTGGTTGAGCTGGTTACTGATGCGTCCACATCTGTGACAAGACAAGACAATATATTGCTCCGTAATAATCACACACACTGTAAAAACTGATAGGTTAAAATAACCAAAAAAAATAGGTTATTTCAGTTGGTCTATAGGACAACCGGTTTAAAATAGATTATTTAAATAGGTAGAAATAACTAAAACTAAATAGGTTAAAACAAACCATTTCTAGTGGGTTATTTTAACCTGTAATATAGTTAATTGTACATATTTAAAATATGTTATTATAACATTTATTTTTAGGTTAAAACAACCTAAATTTAAACAGTTAAATCTACTCAGAGATATAGGTTGTTTTTGCCAAATAAATATAGCTTGTTTTTACCTATAAATATTTGGTCATTTTAACCAATAATATTTGGTCAATTTAACCTATAAGTTTTGGTTAATACAAATATAACCTATTCTTTATGGTTGAAACAACTCATAAATAATGGTAAAGGCCATGAGTCTAAACCAGCCCTTTAAAATAGGTTACATGCGGTTGATCTAACCTAAAAAAAATAGGTTAAAATCAAATAGGTTAAAATCAAATAGGTTAAAATCAATATTTGACTCAAAGTCAAATTAGTAAATATTAAAACAATTTCAGTACTTTGATAAAAATCATGTATTTTTCTTAAGGAATGCATAAGTCTTATATATAATATATAATTAAAATAATCTACGAGATAATTGAGTTCCAGTGTGCGACAATTGCAAAACAGTAAAGTGGAAGTGGAGCAGAGTTTGATGGCATGCGGTCATCATATTATATTGTGAAAGTAAAAAGCTCTTCATATATAGAAGAAACAATGGTTATCTCACACAATTCATTGTTTCCTCGGGACAATATATCCTGCATGTACAATACATGCATTAAATTAGTGATACAATATCATCATTATCATAAATTTCATTAGCATAAATTGTTCCATTTAATGTGTTCATAAAATCCTTTACCTTAGGAAGTTCTCCACGTCAATTGGTGAAGTACCGGTATGGCAATTATTGGCCAAAAGAACATGTTCTAAATTACTAAAACATGTAAATGTTCTTACTATGAGCTGTTGGCCCCTTTTGGGTACTGCATGTTAAAATGTAGTACCCTGCAATCAAACGTGCCACTGCGTTGGTAATATTGCACGGATCGTATCTGAATTTTTTACAACCATTCCCTCTGCAATCAATGAAATCGAACTTATCTCTTCCAGAGGTCCAGCGGCCAGTAGACGAGGGGTTGAGCATCCTGATATTTTGGGAGCAATTCAGAATCATCCTGCAACAAGGAAATATATAACTGAGTGAAAAAATCATTTCATGCACAACTTACGCTTTTGTCTAAATATTGTACTTCTTCTCCTGTAGTTACAATACAAAAATATACGTCACTTCATAATTTCTATCTAGATTATTTTTTGTGTGTGTTGGCGTTATGTACTCAGTAAATATGATGTTTGTGATGTTACTCTGAGTGTGAATCCACACCGGGCAAGCTGAAAAGTTAGCTTGGCCACGGTGGGAATCGAACCCGAGACCTTTGGGATACTAGTCCAATGCTCTGTTAACTGAGCTATGTGCCAAGTCGGTTCGAGTTGATGATATTTCGGAACTGAGTCTAGTTCCTTCTATATCAGTGTATTCTATATGTCTGATTATTTTTTGTCATACTGAGTACATCACCTGAGTACATAACATCAAGTACATAACACCAACACACATAAAAAATAAATACACTGATAGAATACACTGATATAGAAGGAACTAGACTCAGTTCCGAAATATCATCAACTCGAACCGACTTGACCATGTAGCTCAGTTGGCAGAGCATTGGACTAGTATCCCAAAGATCCCAGGTTCGATTCCCACCGTGGCCAAGCCAACTTTTCAGCTTGCCCGGAGTGGATTCACACTCAGCGTAACATCACAAACATTCTATCTAGATGTTATAAAATATACAAAATTCACTTACAAGAACAACTTTAATTAAAGGAATGTTCTCCTGAGGTATGCTCCTTCTCCTCAAGGACATACGTCAAAGCTGCCATGATACAACGGTTTTCTAACTCTACAAAAAGATCAAACATAGAATAAATTTCTATACAGATTAAAATACACATATATAGTTAAGTTCTAATTCTATAATACACATATATAGATTAAGGTTTTATATAGATTAAGTATCTTAATATAGGTTAATGGTTTAATCCATGTACGGATACTAAACAATTCTTTCTTCAAAAACTGTAATCACTGTAATCAATCTGGTATTAGTCTATTAGACATAGTGAAATAATCTTGCGTTAGACAGAGTAGCATAATCATTAAAATAGGGTGCATCAGGGCACGATGCAACTCGATGGGTTAACTAGACACATGGGAGGATAGGGCAGTTATACCCATTAACGAGTAAAATAGTCTGGTGTTAGACAAAGTAAAATAATAAAGTAGGGCACAATGCAACTCAATGGGTTAACACAGTCGAATAAGAACACAGTCACATCACTATATTGTAATGGCAGAGAAATATTAACACACACTATTATAAAGTTGTGCACAATGACTTACAATGTGAAGTAACTGAAGCCCATAAATTAAACCAGTTCTTGCTGTACGGTATCTCTCAGGGTCTGTGCACAGAATGCCAGGTTTTCCCTTGAATATGCCTTGCTGTGCCAATTTGTAATTTTCTGTATCTCTGTTTTTTTGACAGAAACTCTTAATTCCATCTTCAAAATTCTAGCTGTCTTGTTATATCTTCCTTCCATGCCAATAATTAAAGAATTTACGACGCAATATAAGGTACATACATATTTTAAATATTTTAGTTCTGGAGACTAGACCTCCCCACATGCCCTCCCCAGGACATTTTGCTGAAAATATATTAGATCACTATAAACTCAGTTTATGACTTTATGACAGACCAACTATTAAAGTTGTAGTATAACTGTATATTCATGTCAATTGCTAAAACCCCACCTCTTTTCACTATTCATTCCCATAAATAGCCAGCCTACCCCCCCCCCCCCAAATATGTGGAGTCGTGGAGATTAAAAGATGATTTATGGTGGTGTGGTTCCTGCATGAATGCATACTATATGTTGAAATGACTGTGATAAACAATTCAATGTTAGATCTGTACAGTGTTGTATATAGTATACTATCAGTATAAATATGTAAAAAATAAGATGCATTTTCTAATTTTATTAACAAAGATTATGACGTACTGAACTAATATTGCCTATAATTGCCTATAACTGTTTTGTCTTTTGAGCAATTATTATTGGCTTATAATTTAACTCATTAATGGTTGACATTATTTGTCACGTACAAAGTTTATGTATTATGAATGAGTATTATAAAAATATTTAAAACAACCTGGCTATTGTTATCAGTATCGGCTAAACACCCAAGATAACAACCTATTAAACTACAATAATTTTTAGAACTACTGAGTATTTTACAAAATACAAAACAAATGAAACTCCATTGATAGATATAAAAATGTTATCGATCTTTAGAGTTTCTTTCACTTGTTTTTATATTAGTTGTATTGTTCAAGATTAACCAAAAAATAATTGGTTATTTTAACCTATTTACTTTGGTCAATTGGTTAAATTAACCTATTTATATTAGTTGTACCGAAATGTTCGAGATCAACCAAAAAATAATTGGTTATTTTAACCTATTTATTTTGGTTAAAACCTATTCAATTGGTTAAAACAACCTATTTATATAAGTGACAACCTTTACAAATAGGTTATTTTAACCTATCAGTTTTTACAGTGCAATTACATTTTTTGTTTTACATTATTCCTTTTTTATCTATTAATGTTACTTATTTATTTAATTAAAATAAAGGAGCTGACACCCCAAAATAACCATAAGGCTAAAAGACTGGGGCCATGTAGCACAATTAATCAATAATTGTACGGATTGATCTTACAATAATTACGACTTTTCAAAGCATAAAAAAAATGAGAAATGTAAAGAAAAGACAATCATTTTTAAGAATAAAGAAAAAATTAATACTGATTAATAAAAGCAGCTTAAATTTTTCTCTTAAGTTGTAAAAATGTCATCTGTTTATCACCTTCACTCAACACATTCTATGCTTCACTCCCTGATATCTAATATTAAATAATCCAAAATTTGTTCTTATTTTCGGCAAAGAAAAACAAAGATTTGATGAAAGTCTAGTATTATATGAATGTATTTGATAGACAGGAGTAAAGAGATAATTTAAACACGAGGGCAAAAGTTGTCGATGATATTTGTACATAAACATGGTCATACGTAATGTAATGAGATGGGTGAACTTTAAGATTTGGAGGCGCTTAAAGCATTACTTGGTGAGTTATATAAATTGGAAATTCATCTAGGATATGAAGAATATAATACCTGAGATGTATATTAATTTTCTAGGTGTTTCTTGAGAAGTCAAGAATATAGAAACTAGGTGTTTCATGAGAAGTCAAATATATATATATATATATATATATATATATATACATATATATATATATATATATATATATATATATATATATATATATATATATATATATATATATATATATATATATATATATATATATATATATATATATATATATATATACATATAGTAGAGGATACCTTAGATTGAATAGCAGATGTAGAGTGCAAGTTTATCTGTTTGTTTATTAATAAAAATATTTTTCAATTTCAGAATCCCAATATGGAAATATAGTGCATAGCCTGGATGTGTGGCATAAATCAGAAGAATCATAGAGCATTAAAAAATGTCTGGCTAAGGTTTGTATATTTTACAAAAGATTTTGCAATTTTTGACTTAGACTTTTAACTGGACTAAACAGCTGTTTTAACATAAAAATAATTTGAGGACACAGTATGTTACTTTACAAGCATAGACCTCTTGGTCTTGCTTTCCTTGTTTGTAACTGTTTTGGCAGGCAGAGTTTACTACAGCTTGCAAGAGTGCTTTGTTAACTTATGTTGTCGACTTACAGTATTGTGATGTGAATTTTAGTTGGGTAAACCAAAAGCTATGTACAAGATTAAGGATTGTTCGACTCACATAATTACACATTTCTGGTACTGCTCTAGCGTGTGTCGAGAAAATACCACCTCTGACGATGAAGCGTTAAGACGAATGAAGGTATTTATTTGATAATTATTTATGTTAATTACAAGCTAGGATTCACAAAATTAGTCTAATACCAAATGGTTTTCATGGTACTGTCAGTCAATGGGTTAACAAAACTATTTGTCATTTATTCTGTTAATCCACTGCTGTGATATGTACTCTACAATGCCAGAAGTTTTTCTCATCACTGGTAGACTTCCAGATTCAATGAGACATTTGTTTAGGATAAATGGATTGGAATGCTCCATCACATTTGTAATGTGCACCAGTGGCTTACCTGACGATGATGATGATAACCATGATGAAGGTCTCCCATGGTTTGATCGTCGGGGCAAAGACTTCACGGAGTTACAAAGAGTTGTTCTAAGTCCAGAACTACTTGCCAGTTTTAAGTATTATACCCGTTTCCTTCGTTCGGACGTCTGTGACCTTGTTTACGTTTGAACAAATTTACAGTTGAGTAACGAATTTCTGGCGTTAAGTCTAAACTACGCAGCTGATCGGACAATAAAATTAGAAACCCATTTAATTAGTTTACCTGTCAGACTATCAAACTGAAACTTGCAGTTTTTCACACCCTGGCTGCAACAAATTGTAATCACGAGGTTCGGAAATATTTCATTACGAGGCACGTTTGAATACATCATGTTGTGTCTCTTACCCTTGCGTGCGGCCAGCAAAAAAAAGTGTGGAGGTGTCGCGGTCTACTGATTTCAATAATATTTAAGACCACATGTGGAGTTTAATTGTTGAATGACTTATGTTCCTCCATTCCCTGCGGGAGGGGGATAATTAGAGGCAAGGGGCTAAATAAATGTTAACGTTCTTTATGTATAAGCTAGATACTTTATACTCAAAATACTGAAAATACTTAGAGAGTGGTCTGTGATGGGGGCTCAAACGAGGAAATACTGGGCGCTTTTCATTTGAACAAAAAGCCCAGATTGCGTTTCCGGAATGTCCAGTGGCAAAATGGAACGCTACAGCGTGACAGGCCTTGTAAATAATGGGAGGCTTGTTGGGCGCTTTCCATTTGACGGAAATTCCGGAAATCTTGCTTGAAAATCAAATGGAACATGTTAATTTCTGGAATGCTGTTTCTTTAATTTTGAAGAATTTGACACTGCGGCTCAAATCTCTTTCAGCATTCGGCGAAATGAATCCAGACTCGAGGCCCTGAAATGGTCGAGAACCCGCCATTTTGGTTTTGGTGCCGATTTTTGCTCGTCAAAGATTGGAAAGCAGCAACGTGGTTGGGAAATGTTTTAATGGATGTAAAAATTTCAAAACTTCCGGAATTTCCAATGTGTGGACAACTTCGCAGGCCTTAAAATATCGGTCGGTCACAGACATTGTCCGACCCATTCGTGAAATTGTCCGACGTAGAGAGGAAACCACCGGACATTCTGTCCGACCTAAGTGAAACTGAGGTTTATTGTTTGTCCGACCTGAGTGTATTGGTGTCAGACCGAACTGTAGCTTTGTCCAACGTAAATCGATCAAAATGTACCCTATCCCAGGACTAGAGGCTTGTATGTTAAGTGGAAAATCAGAGTGCTATTGTATAAAAGGTGAACTGGAAATGTTGTTTTATCGTACTCGAAAACTGGCTCGTAGTCTTTTTTAATACTGCTGTTCTGGAAAGCGAGTTCATTTTGGCTTGGAAATAAGTACGACTTCACAACATTTGCCGTTCAGAATTAATACATTGTGCTGATATTCATTTGTGTCATTCAGGTCATCGGACATATGTCCGACCCAAACTCAACGTCATCGGACATTTTGTCAGACGGCCCTGTAAAAGATATTTTAAGGCTTGCCTCGGGAGATTTCGAACCAGCATTCCAGAAAGTAACGAACGTGTTCCATTTAACTTTCAAGCAAGATTTCCACGTCCACGGTATCCACATGCAAAATTCCACGTGTGAAACAGTTAGAGTTCGAAGTTCCTTCATTACGGTGGACCGTGATATTAAATTCGACCATGCGGTCGCCTAATGCAAGCTCATAGGTTCGACGAAAGTGCGCGCCGTGGCTTCAGACATCCCATTTTACGTGTGTCGGATTGAATTCTGATTGGACCTGCTCGGAAAAAGCACCCAGGAACAGCGGAAATTTGTAGTGGTTATATGTGCCCCTAATTTCAGTTCTTTGAAACGTGCACAAAATTCCATGCATGTTTGTAAGCAGCGTCGAACGTTTGCCACAAATTAATGCGAATTGTATTTGACGCGCAAAATTGGACGTTTTGAATTTGAAGGGATTACGCTTTCTGTTTGACTGGCGTCTGACAAACGTATGAAATAAGTGAAGTATTTTTAAAGGTAATAGCCCAAGGGGACGGACGAGAGAGAGGTTTTCAAGATAGTTCTTACAGTTCACTTCGGAGTTTTAGGATTGGGTTAGGTTCAGCTGCATGGGGGTAAGGTTTAAGATTGCTACAACTGCCTGGTTGCAGTCGATTCTTTCACTAACGATCTTGAAAAATAGCCGCCATCTTGAAAAATTCCTCTCGCCCATCTCGTTTAGCAACGACTTTTCGAAACTCATCTATTTAATATGCACAATTCTCCACACGAACATGTGCGGGTTGAGCGGATGATTACAAAAACACTTTCATGAATAAACCAAGACAACTGACAAAAAACCCAACTTGAACCGCCTTTTAGATAGGCCGGGCGCGGCAGGGTTAAATGGAAATATTTCCATGTGTTTCATTTCAATTTTCCCGAGTTCTCAGACGCAGCCCGAGACCGAAGGTCGAGGGACACCTCTGAGACCGAGGGAAAATACTTTTCAAGTACGGACTGAGCTTAACGGTAAAAAACCATAGAAGTGAGATATTTATGTAAATAAAGTATTTATGTTTTGCTCCATGCTTAATTAAATTCCTAAAAACTCCAGTGTTGCGAACTAGATTTGCAGTTGTGACGTTTCTCTGTAGGTCACTTGTTGACATAATGCTTTCAAATCTTTCAGGGCCTCTTTTAACGATATGTAACTGGGGGGAGGCATATTTAGCGGGGGACCTGGGGAAGTTCCAATCGGCAAGTCTGTATGACTAATAAGTATACGTCATATAAAGCCAGCAGATCAGGGGCCAGTTGTATAAAACTCTTAATCACTTTTTTAATCACTATTTTGTAGTTAAATAGTGATTAACTCTCAAATAGGCGCTTCTTATTGGATGACGTTTGCACTTAATCATAATTAACTTTAATCACTTTTTTATGCAACCGGCCCCAGACCCGTAACTAGGATTTTGAGACGTATGAGCCTAACGTTGTTTGGGGATAGGGGGCACAGTATTGGCTTGCCCGACCGCTTTGCATTATGTTACACAGTACACATATCACGTTGGTCAAATTTAGCAAACATTCCTCCCACTCGTGCGGGCTCATATTGTCAGCGGACATCTTACAGAAAGTGGGAAGTTCTGTGCAAAATCCTAAAGTTTTAATTTTTCACCGCCAGTTCGCTGAGAATACCAGCTTGCGTTACTGGGAGAAAATTTGTTGAATATTACCGGCGTGATATACAGCTTTGTTCAAGATTTTTTCAGGGCCTTTTTAATTAAGGCCATTTTCCCGTGGGGGAGGGGCGTTTTTTGAAAAGGGTTCTTTCTGTAAGATAATATATTAGTGGGGGATAGCCATGTGGGCGACAGCGCTTGTGCAGACTAGTCCTCTGTGCACGCCTTTGTTTTCCGTGACGTCACCGAGCGAAACGCGCGCTAGAAGAGCCGTCACCTCATTAATATGCAGAAACGCGTAATAGGTGTACTAAGAGGCCTAGGGACTAGGCTGGCGCGCATGAATCCCTAGGGGAGTCTGGGGGCATACTCCCCCAGAAGCAGCTCGATCTCTTCCGAAAATTAAGGCTATGTCTTAATTGTAAAAAGCGTTCAAATTAAGACATTGCTTTAATTTTAAACCTAACCCTCACCCTAACCCCTAATCTAATCTTAGTCTAACCCTAATCCAATCCAAATCTGGATCGAGCCCTTCTTACGCGCGGTGCGACGAGGGGCTCTGGCCAAATCCATATTCGAACTGGAATCTGATTGGCTAGTTCTAACACCGGATATTGTTCTCCTACCATGTTTTTATGGTATCCGGTTATGTATTTGGCCAGCGCCCCTGGTTGCTCTTCGTTCACCGCGCGTAAGAAGGGCTCTGGGTACGAGAATGGTTTGAAATTTGAAGCCCGGAAGTGCCATTTCCTGCACTCTCAGCATCCAAATTTGCTCTAAAATTTATGCTAACTATATTTGTATTTGAAATAAAAGAAGGAAAAACGCAAAGAAAAAATATTAACCATAATTTATCACTACGTATCAACCTGCGAAGCAGGCGGTGCTCGCGGGCACGAGAGAACGGGCAGCTTGAAATAAAAGAAGGAAAAACGCTTCTTATCAACTTTGATGACAGTTATATGTTTTACCCGAATGACACATGGATTTCTGCTCTATTGCCCGACCTTTCCGATACGCCTATGCTGCGAGCCGTCTAGAGGGGTCCGGGAGCATGCCCCGTCCCCCAGAAAATTTTGGATTTCTTCAAGCTCAGATAAGCTATTTCTAGCATTTTTAGGAGTGTTCCAACAAAAAATTATCCTTATAAACAGTGACACAATTATTGCAATTTTACAGTCTCCCAAATGTAATCCACCTGGGATAAGGCAACATGATGTGCTGTTGCGGTAATGAAAATGTGCGTGGTATAATATTATCATTTACCACACTTCAAATTCTACAGTACTGTACATGTACTGGAGTACTTGACATCGACGCATTCGTCTTCTCAGTGTCACTGAAGAGCAAGATAGGGTGGTCTCTTTGGAGCATCTTTGCATGGAAAAACTAAACTAGAATTTTGTCCTAAAATGCCATTTCATGCCTTTTTCCACTAGTAAATTATTTAAAGTCATGGTTTAGGTTTGTAGCGATGTTTAAATTTCAGTCCCCAAATTCCTACCGTTAGTCAACTGACTCGGTTGACCCGTGGCTACTTACGGGCCTACAAGATGATTGTCAAATACAGAAATGTTAACAACTTAATTAACATCATTTTAATTTCTCACTTTGATATATAATTGGACCTCACTGGGGGGGGGGGGAGGACAAAATAGTCGACTGGAGGGGCCAGTAACATGACATGCCCCCCCCAGTCTATATGTTAAAAGAGGCCCTGAAATCTTTAGTTGATCAAGACGCTTTGCTCCTTTTTTAATTTTCCATAGTCCTAGTATAAAATTTAATTATATATACTTATAAAATAAAACTTAAGCTATAAAATTAGCAATGTAGCATGCAAGCAATACTGTACATTGCATGCTAATGATGCCAGAACATACGCATTTTATACAATCTGTTTTGTTCTGTGTAAGATTCCTTACAGCTCTTCTGATAAAAAATTAAACAATTAGAACTAATAGTTACAACTGTACATTAAACAACAACGCTAATCGACATGATTAATTATCACTTATTTACTGAGAACGAGGGAAACAGTGTGTTTTGTTATATAGTATATAAGTGTCAAAGTATGAATAATTCACCGGTTATTGGAGTGAATTTAATTTGAAACCGAAATTAGATAAATGGAACGCCGTAAATGTTTAATAAAAGTTTTGAATATGAACTTTGGAACTTCATGGTTGAAACGCATGCGTATTGCACCCATTTTATTATTGACCGGTCAATCAATAGTGAGTTTAAGATACCCTGGTTTCGGTTTACGGGTACGGGTAGCATGATTTTGGTTAGCAATTACAGACATCAGTAAAAACTAGTAAACACGATGACACTACTCGTACCCGTACACCGAAACCGGGGTATCTTAAAACTCACTATTAGTGACAATGATATAATGCGAAGAATGTGCACCTTAATTACGGCACAACTTGGCGAACTCTATATTCGTTTCATCAAGCAACCCATCATTGAATTATAGGTTCACATAACTTAGAGCCTTAAACGGACACCGAAACCCCTTTGGCATACATCTTGAAAATTTCGCCCCCGAATATTTCGTAAAATGCCCGCTTTGTCTTTTCTAAAGGCCGTTTTCCACTAGGCTGAATTTTCCGCGCGGCGCGGAATTTCTCTTTGTCTTTTCTAATTAGTTCCACTCGAGAAACCACAAGACAAAGAAAAATTCCGCCTAGTGGAAAACGGCCTTAATTAGTTCCACTCGAGAAATCACAAGACAACGAAAAATTCCTCTCCGCGCGGAATATTCCGCCTAGTAGAAAACGGCTCTAACTAAAGCCGGTTTTCCACTAGGCGGAATTTTGTGGGCGGAGCGGAATTTTTCTTTGTCTTGTGATTTTTCTGTTGGAACTAATTAGAAAAGACAGAGAAAAATTCCGCTCCGCGCGCAAAATTCCGCCTAGTGGAAAACAGGCTTAATCAATTTAAAATCATGTCGAGACATGGTCTGGCGGGAAACTCAGTAAACTTCAAAGCGGTTATAATGAGCTGGGAGTTTATGTTGAGCCATACCTTACACCGTGCACATCCTTTGTTTTAGGTTTGAATCTCTAATTTCTTTAATTCGATCAATGATTGAATGACTGAACTGAAACGTTGCAATTGGATGATTCATATAATGATACTGAAATACAACTATGTGTTCATTGACCGTGCACCGTGCACAAAACTGCGTAAACACGAACAAAAAGACAGAACGAAGACTTTAGCGGAGTTTCTAAACCATGTTTTCAAAGACTATGATTCGCGTTGTTGTTTAATTAATTTAAGTTTAATGTACAGTGTAACTTGCAACTATCAATTCTAATTGTTCAAAAAATTTTATCAGGTGAGCTGTAAGGAATCTTACACAGAACAAAACAGATTGTATAAAATGCGTATGTTCTGGCACATTGCTAAATGCTAACGTTAGCTTAAGTTTTAGCCGCATCTAAACGAGCTTATATTAAGTTATAAAATTTGCATAGCCAAAAATCTCAAATTTGATTGGTTACAGAAAGATATGTGCTAATAAGGTGCATAATAGCGACCTAAGTGTAGATTTTACTGTTAGGTGGACAGATGAAGATAATTCTATTATTCAATATAAAGAGGGTAATACTCATGATGGGTGCGCGGAAATAGCAAAGCGCTATAGTTAATATAATAAAGATATATAATTATGTTGCTATTAACTGATCTTAAAAGTATAGATCATGCATTCCGCATTGAAATAATGACTACAAGATTGAAATGGACATGTCACAATTCGACGTACATAAAATTAAATGTTCAAACATTGTTGTACCAGGACAAAATTCCATTCGCATTACACGTTGCATGAAACAAATTTGGTAGATTTTGCATGAACATATATATGAACAGAACCGTCTACGAAAGAATAAAAGAATGATTGAATAGATATACAAACGAACTCCTACAGTATTCATCTCAATGTCATAACTGAGGGTGGGAAAGGGTATTTTCGTGAGCCGTGAATGGTCAATATTTGTTCGCGTGAAATGTGAAATGCTTCATTTTAGTGTCGTGAAACGTGATTTATTCTACAGCCGTGAGGCGTGATTGTTGATAAAAATGCTCCGTGAAATGAGAATTAAGGATCCCTGTTTCGTGAACTGTGATTATTATAGTGATTATTATAATAAACATGACACGCGATAATCAAATTTATATGATCTCACTCGATTGCACAAGAGTAAAAAGTTCGGGCCTTTCCAGAGGTTCCTCACGCAGAGGACAACGTTCCTGACACTGAGGACAACGTTCCTGACGCTGAAGACAAGGTTCCTGACGCTGAGGAAAAGGTTCCTGACGCTAAGGACACTAGGTTCCTGACGCTCATAACAAGATTCCTCACGCTGAGGACAAGGTTCCTGACGCTGAGGACAAGGTTCCTGACACTGAAGACAAGGTTCCTCACGCTGAGGACAAGGTTCCTGACATTGAGGTCAAGGTTCCTCTCCCTTAGGACAAGCCTCCTGACGCTGTGGTCAACGTTCCTGACGCTGAGAACAAGGTTCCTGACGCTGAGGACATGCTTACTGACGTTGAGAACAAGCTTTCTAACGCTGAGGACGAGGTTCCTGACGCTGAGGACAAGGTTCCTGACGCTGAGAACAAGGCTCCTGACGCTGACGACAAGGTTCCTGACGCTGAGGACAAGGTTCCAGACGATGAGAACAAGGTTGCTGACGCAGACAACAAGTTACCTGACGCAGAGGACAAGGTTACTGACGCTGAGGAGAAGGTTTCTGACGCTGATAACAAGATTTCTGACGCTGTGGACAAGATTCCTGACGCTGACGACAAGGCTGCTGACGCTGAGGACAAGGTTCCTGACGCTGAGGACAAGGTTTCTGACGCTGAGGACAAGGTTCCTGACGCTGAGGACAAGGTTGCTGACGCTGAGGACAACGTTCCTGACGCTGAGAACAAGGTTTCTGACGCTGTGGACAAGGTTCCTGACGCTGAGGACAAGGTTGCTGAGGCTGTGGACAAGTTTCCTCACGCTGAGGACAAGGGTGCTGACGAAGAGGACAAGGTTCCTGACGCTGAGGACAAGGTTTCTGACGCTGAGGACAAGGTTCCTGACGCTGAGGACAAGGTTCC